TATCTTGCAAGTCGACATCATGCGACATTTGAATACCATCATCACGTGTCACTATGGGCTGATTTGCTTTAATCTGTTCAGAAATTTTCTTGAAGTTTTCATTGATCAATGTTCTTAAAGACGTGAACTCGCCCGTCACCTAATCAAAACATAAAGAATTAGATAGGTATTGGAAAAATATATGAATTTTAAATAACAAAACTGTATTATTTACTAATGGAATACAAAACTCACGTAGTCTTTGAATGAATTTAGATCATTCCTCAAAGAAGATACTTCATCCGCTTTAGAATCTGCCGACTTCTTATCATGCACTACATTTTGATTGACTTCAGAAATACCAGCGTAAGGAGTCTTGGGTTTAGTCCCTGCCTCTGAGTGATCTATAATCTGCTCTTTGCGCTTCTTGTGGGGCGGAGATGAAGAAGGTCCAACGCTTGCATCATATTTCTTCTCAGGCTGAAGATGCGGTGTAGGACTAAAGTCATCCGAATCTTCCTGATCATCTGCATGCTTGTCTGAATGAGTATAAGTAGGGCTGGTATCTACCTCAACGCCTTCCAGAGGAATTTGAATAATCGCAAGCTCTACATCGCTTGGTTGGATGTCTTTGTAAACAATCTGGAAATTGAAAATTGAATGTTATATCCAACCTATATTTAAAGTTGATCACTGTCTCGAAATGTATATTGTGTGCAACTGTAGGCTATAGCAAAAGTAAAGTATAATCTGTATGCAGATGAAGGTGTATTGCATATGGATAATCTAGGTTGTATTTACATGTATATTGTATGCATATGTATGTTGTATGTATATAATAATGTATGTATCTGTATGGAACATTTGGGTGTATGGAACCTGAAAATACAGTACATATTCATATGTATGTTATATGCAGAATAGGCTATACTTAGCAAGTATTGTATGCAAAATTGAATTTCAGAAACTTTTGAAATATTAATTTACCATGTTTCCCTGGTCTTTGAACATGCCATTCATCTGATAAGTATATGTCGGCTGATTTACAGTGGTTCTCCAGTTGAGCAATCTGGGTACCCGATTACCAAGGCGCTTTGCAATTTTAGGGTCAACCTTTGAGCAACACTAATAAAACCAAACTTGCATTGCGAGTGGCATACCAGCAATCCTATAGTACTTCTTGTGAAAATCCATTTTCTTACTAATAGATGTAATAAGGCTGCTGAATGCAAGAGTACCCCATGGATAATCAGAGTATCGCCCACTCTCGACTAAGTCAAAATCTAGTCGTGGGATGGTTGTGGTTTTCTTCTCTGATGAGAATATCCATGTGTGTATGAGATACAACAATGATATCTTGATGGCATCCCCGTCGTTGCCATCACCCCACTTCTTTTCATTAAAGCATGACAATAAAGCTTCCTTTTCAACCAGCTTTGAACCACCAAAGTATGTTTGAACAATACGGTTGGGCACCTCTGTGTTGAACTTAAATTCACGTGGATCACCAACACATTTGAGACCAGTGACGAGGGCGAACTCCTGATTGAGAAGGAAATTGTTGTACCATTTAGGTGTATTGAAAATACGTCATCAGTACTTCCTTCTAACTGCTTAACCATGAAACACCTGAAGAGCTGATGTTGTACCTCACACTGATCCATATCAAGGAGACTTCCAAAACAAGTAGAACTTAATAGTTTATACTGTTCTGGAGTAAGCTTTTCTTTGAGATCGGATACTATGTTTGTGTTTGTATATGAAGAAATATGCGGTGAATATCTTGGTGGGTGTTTCACAAACAGTTTATTTTCCTGCATACAAACAAGATTTTTAAAAATATTTCATATTCATCTTCAATACAGTAACTCATTGAGTATTATGAATACATATAAATACAACAAGATACAATTAAAAAAATGAAATATACATTAATACCAAATAGTACAAAAATGTGAATATATACATACAACATACAAGGAAAACAGTAATAAGTACAGAAATACAGAGAATGTAAAATTGAATACACCTAAATACATTTAAATACAACATATAATATTCAAGTAAGCACAACTCAGATATTGAAAATGTGAATGTGCAAATGAGTTCTGGATTGTTTTAATACTTATGAATACAACTACATACATACGAATACAACATCATACATATAAAATAACTTGAATAATTATGAATACATACACGTTTCTTTGAATGCATATTGATACAAATAGCAATTACCTTTTCGTGTCGTGTATCTGATGTTTTTTTTGCATCAACTTCCTTAACATTGACACATGAAGAATCATTCAAAGGCTTTTTCCTCTTTGAAGCAACTGGATTTTTTGTTTCTTTTGAAGATTTCTCAACTTGGACTTCTTTCGATTTGTCATTGTGTAATTTAGTTCTTCTCTCTGAAGCTGTAGTTGCTGATAAAACCTGCAAAATCCGACTCGCTTGAGTTATTTGCAACGAGAAAGAGGGCCCATCAAAATTGAGAATTTTGGTGGGTATACCTCTGGTTATCATCTTGTGTGGCGTTGAATCCGACATTGGAGAGAAAAACCAAAGCTTCCTGGTGAGTAAACAATACCAATGGTTATTGTTTCAGAAACAAAGTAAAATCTGTATCAAAATTAGAGAAACAAAATAATGATATCAAAATCTAAGAATTAAACCTACCAGGAGCACTTGTATCGGCTCTAAAACAATGATTTTAGAGAGATGCGAAATGGGGAGTGATAATGGCGGAGACCTAGAGAATTTGGATGGGAGAAGAGTTATGAATCGTGGGTTTATGGGAGTGGGTTTGTGGGAGAAGAGAGTAAAGTGTATGCAAAAAGAGAGAGAGAACGTGGTTAGAGCAGATATACGGTGATTATGTGAGAGAAAAGACTAAAAAGGAGAGAGAAAAATTTTATTTAGCATATATAGTGCCTTAAATGTAGGATGTAACTATAATTAGATATTTTGCTATAAAGGATAAAAGGTATCTATAGGATGTAATATTTTAAAATGGTATTTATTTAAAATAAATAGGGTACTAAGATTTTCTATAGGGTGTAAAATTTCCTTTAGAATACAGATGTAAGGAACGATGGATATTTTCTGAAAGAGAATGAACAGATGCTTCTCGATTCCTCTCTCACTTTCTCTTAAACCCTAGTTACTTTTCTTCAAATCTCTCGATCTACAGATGTTTACATGGTATCAGAGCAGTCAATCCTGATGAATTTCGTCATTCTCTATTGATCGATATTACCCTCGAGCTGTTTTGGTGGAGTTTTTCATGTGCATCGATTTCTCGATTTTGCCGTCGTTCGAGCTTTTTGCCGGTGAAGCTTGTTTTCCTTTGGATTTTTCGCTAATCTTCTTAGTATTCCAGCGAGGAGCGGTTAAATTTTTTGGATCTTTCATCATCTATTGGTTCGAGAGTTTTCGTGTTTTTAATCTCCTTCAGAGCTTGGGCTTCTATCAAAAGGCTGTATCTTCCGGTTGTGAAGAATTTGGGTAACATCGATTTTCTTTCCTGCTCGTCTTCATCTTCATTGCATATATTGAACTGAGGTAGTGTTATATAATCTCTATTTTGGTTGTTTGAATGGTATTGGTATTAATTCACAAAAATGGGTGATACTACTAGTAATGAGTCTGAATTTACTCCTCGTGCTTCAAGTCCTCTGGTTCATCCTAGTGATGTCCCTGGTACATCACTGCTTGGTGTTCCTTTCTCCGGTACTGGATTTGGAGGTTGGAAAAGGAGCATTATCGTGTCTATTTCAGCTAGAAATAAGATAGCTTTTATCGATGGAAATCTCCCTAGGCCTCCTATTAATTCACCCGAGTGCAAACAGTGGGATAGGGTAAACGACATGGTAATTTCCTGGTTGACAAGTTCACTGTCCCCTGAAATTGCAGAAAGTGTTCAATATTCGGAGACTGCTGAGAGTATTTGGAGGCAATTAAATACTAGGTATGGAACATTTAATGGAACTAAGAAATTCGAAATTAAGAGGGAGTTGGCTTTTACATGTCAAGGGGCTCTTGATATTGCATCTTTCTTTAACAAGTTGAAGAAGTTTTGGGATGAACTAACAGTCATGTCTTCCAATCATGCAAAAAATTATAATTGTGCTGCTAAGCCTGGTCTGGAGCAGGAAGAAGAAGAGAATAGAGTGCATCAATTTCTAATGGGGTTGAACGAGACATATGTTAATGTTAGAAGCAACATTCTGCTCATGAACCCACTGCCTTCACTTGACAATGTTTATAACATTCTTTTACAAGATGAAAAACAAAGACAAGTCATTCCTACCACTCATTTTAGTTCTGATATGGCTTCTTTACATGCAAGTGCCAACAATAAACCTCCTTCTCAACCAAATCTTAACAAACAATACAATCAGAGACTTAATTTTGATCACTCCAATCAAAGGATGAATCTTGGGCAGCATAAGGGATCTTTATTCTGCAAGTATTGCAAGAAGAATAACCATACCATTGAGACATGTCACAAGCTGCATGGTTTTCCACAGAACTTTAAATTCACAAAAGGCAGGAAGTATGGTACTGCTGCCAATATTGAATCTTCTGCTTCTGGAGTTCGTGATGCCCTACTACTTCTGGATCTATTGGTCAAGAATCTATGATACCTGGACTGACAAAAGAACAGTGCAGTCAACTGTTGATGCTTCTGCAAAGTTCAACTTTGGACTCTTAACTCTCAGACAAATCATATGGGTTCTGCAAACTTTGCTGGTAACATTTCTACTCAACCTTTGCCTGATTGTGATAGCTTTGCTGCTTGCATATTGTCTAGTGCTGTTAGGAGTGTTTGGATAGTAGATTCAGGAGCAACTGACCATATGACATCTATTAAAGATTTCCTTTTTGACATTAAACCACTTCCTGTACCCTATTTAGTTTCTTTGCCAAATGGTTACAAAGTGAAAGTAACATGCACTAATTCACTTACTTTGTCTCCTTCCTTTATTTTGCATCATGTGCTCTATATTCCATCATTTCAATACAATGTCATATCTGTTTATAGGTTGATTCAACAGTTTCACAGTTTTGTCCTTTTCACATCTTTTTCCTGTTATATACAGGACCCTTCCAGGAACAAGTTTTTGGAACTTGGTAGAGTGCACCATGGTCTTTACAAGCTTCTTCCACTTACTACTTCTAGCTCTTCCACTTCTAGTCATACTAATGTTCTCCCTAAACTGAATTGTATCTCTATTTCATATTTAGTTGCTAATGTACTCTCCATGCATTCATCCCCTGCCTCTTCCCTAAATGATACTACATCAGTTGTAAATAGTTCACCTTTGAATAATAATGTCCCTATTGTGTCTGACAGTACTACTTCTACTCTTTCTTGCGTAAACTCTGATGTTTCTTGTATGAATTCTGTGAATGTTGTAACCAGTTCTGATATTCTTTGGCATCATAGATTGAGTCATATCCCATTTGCTAAAATGAAGGCCATTCCTGCTATTTCTCCTAATATTTCCTCTAAGCAATCTTTCATTTGTCCAATTTGTCCTCTAGCTCGACAATCTAGATTGCCTTTCCCAGATAGTACCTCTAGTTCCACTTCCTTGTTTCAACTAATTCATATTGATATTTGGGGACCATATCATACACAAATATATACTTGTGCAAAATACTTTTTAACAATTGTGGATGATTACAGTAGGTTGGACTCATTTAATGCATGCCAAAAGTAATGCTTTTCCTCTTCTCAAGGCTTTCATTGCAATGGTCCAAACACAATTCAACCTCCCTGTTAAAATTATTAGAAGTGACAATGCCCTAGAGCTTGGCTCTTCTCATTCCATGTCTCAATTTTTTTCTGATAATGGGATCTTACAACAAACAAGTTGCCCCCACACACCTCAACAAAATGGTGTGGTTGAGCGAAAACACAAACATCTTTTAGAAACTTCAAGGGCTCTTTTATTTCAGTCAAAACTTCCTACCAAATTCTGGGGGGATTGCGTATTAACTGCCACTTATCTTATAAATAGATTTCCCTCAACTATAATATCAAACAAAACTCCTTTTGAACTTTTATAAGGTGTTGTACCGTCCTATAACCATTTGAAACCTTTTGGCTGCCTTTGCTATGCTTCAGTTCCCAAGTGTCAAAGGGACAAATTTCAGCCAAGGGATGTCCTTGTGTGTTCATTGGTTACCCTTTTGGGAAGAAGGGCTATAAGCTTTACAATTTGCAAAATAAGTCTGTACTTATTTCCAGAGATGTCCATTTTCATGAAGTTGTTTTCCATTTCATCTCTCAGACTCTCCTTATTCTATACCTTCTCCTTTACCTTCTTCTCCATCTCCTATCATTTCCGACCCTTCTGGTCCTTCAGCTGTTGATGTTTCTCTTCCTCCTTCCTTCACCCCTTCTTCACCTATTTCTGCTTCTTCACCTATTTCCACCCCTATTTCTCCTCCTTCCAGTTTTTCTTTTTCTCCCCAGTCTGATTCATCTCCAGCTCAATCCTCTCCTTCCCTTATTTCTTCCAGTCCTGCTGCTCCTAGGAAATCAACCAGAACTCACAGTCTTCCTTCTCACCTTCAGGATTATGTAGTATCCCTTCCTCCCTCCTTCTGCTCCTCTACTAACACCACTACTGATGCACCAACTACTGCAGTTGAGCCTCATTCTTACCATCAGGCTGCTCTAAGTCCTGCTTGGCAAGAGGCCATGAAAAAAGAGTTTGAGGCTTTGGAGGCTAATCACGCATGAGACATTGTTGGCTTGCCTCAAGGTAAGAAACCAATTGGGTGTAAATGGGTTTACAAAATTAAGTATGAGGCTGATGGTTCTATTGAGAGGTATAAAGCGAGGCTAGTAGCTAGAGGTGACACTCAAGTAGAGGGTGTAGACTTTGCTGAAATATTTTCACATGTTGTAAAAATGTGTACTGTTAGATGCCTCATTGCTTTTGCTGTTAAACATAATTGGTCATTGTTTCAATTGGATGTGAACAACGCCTTCTTGCATAGGGACTTAGATGAGGAAGTCTACATGAGATTGCCGCAGGGTCTTTCTGTTGATTCTTCTCTTCCTTCCTTCTTCTTCTTCTCCTAGTTTGGTTTGCAAATTAAAGAAATCCTTGTATGGTTTGAGACAAGCTTCTCGGCAATGGTATTCAAAGCTATCTCAGTCTCTTTGTTCTAGAGGGTACACTCATTCTTTGAATGACTATTCATTATTTTTCAAAAGAACTGTTGCTTCCTCTGTTTTCATTGCTGTCTGTGTGGATGATATCATCCTCACTGGCAATGATATAGCTGAAATTACTGCCTTAAAGACTTCTCTGGATGCTGAATTTAAGATCAAGGATTTGGGCCACCTTAACTATTTTCTTGGCATTGAGGTGCTTTATCATTCCTCAGGGGTTCTTCTACACCAAAGAAAATTTATCTCTGACCTATTGACGGATTTTAAGTGTTTAGTTGTCTCTCTTGTTGTGTGTCCTCTTGCTATGTCCACCAGGTTACATTCTGAGGCTGGGGATGTCTTGCCTAGGCCTGATACTTATCGGAGCTTAATTGGTAAACTCAATTTTCTCACTCATACTAGACCCGACTTATGTTTTGTTGTGCAACATCTTAGTCAATTTCTTAAGACCCCTCGAGTTCCTCATATGGAAGCTGGATTACATGTTTTAAGGTACTTAAAAGGTACTCCTGATGTTGGTATTCTCTTGAACAATTCTTCTGATCTTTCTCTCCAAGGCTACTGTGATAGTGACTAGGCAGCCTGCCCTGAGACTCGCAAGTCTGTTACTGGTTTCTATGTTTCTTTTGGAGGTAGTTTAATAAGCTGGAAGTCTAAGAAACAGCAGGTGGTGTCTCTCTCTTCTGCTGAAGCAGAATACAGGGCCCTAAGTAAAGCTGTGGCTGAATTGTCTTGGTTGGCTCGTTTGTTTTCTGATCTAGGTATGCATCTCTCAGCACCTATACCTGTTTTTTGTGACAGTATGGCAGCGATTCATATTGCTAAGAATCCGGTATTCCACGAACGCACCAAACACATTGAGCTCGATTGCCATTTCATCCGCACTAAGTTGGCTGATGGTTTAATATCTTTGAGTCACATTAATACTGCTTCCCAGCCAGCTGATGTATTCACTAAGTCTCTTGCAGGTGCTTCTCATCATTTTTTGCTTGGCAAGTTGGGCGTGTGCACACCCTCCAACTTGAGGGGGGTATTAGAGATAGTGCTATTACTTGAAGGATTGTGCCACCTTTGTATTTATTTGTACTGGGCTAAGCCCAATTGTTTGTTTTCTAATAAGTTGGTCGGGCAGTGGCCCAAGTAGTTGAGTGGACTACCAATTTTACCCTTGTATATATATAGCTTTTAGAATACAGATGTAAGGAACGATGGATATTTTCTGAAAGAGAATGTACAGATGCTTCTCGATTCCTCTCTCACTTTCTCTTAAACCCTAGTTACTTTTCTTCAAATCTCTCGATCTACAAATGTTTACAAAATTCTATATATTCTTTAGTCTTTACAACAAAAAAAGAGGACAAAAATATATGAAAAGGGTGTCCGATGTGCATCTCAAATTGTACGCTGAGAAATAAATAAAAAAATGTGTTTACTATAACAAGAAAATCGAAAATTTTATTTTCTGAATTTTTTTCTATAAAATGTATTTTGGGTGTTAATCTTTCGAAAACAGCCTCTCTATGCCTTCGGGGGCAGGGGTAAGGTCTGCGTACACACTACCCTTCCCAGACCACATTAGTGGGATTTTACTGGGTTGTTGTTGTTGTAGTATTTTGTGTGTTAACTGTTAAGTAGTGAAAAACGTTCTTCGATTTTTTTATTGAAGATTTATAATAAATATTAACAAATTCGATAGTAGTATTTTTTCTGAGTTTTTTGAGTATTAAAGAATGGAAAAAATGAAGAATGAAGTTGTCACACTATCAGGTTCAGAGGCGAATACCAAATTCAAAATCAACAGGTTCTAACTTTTAATATGTTTAGCTTTATACTCATTATATTTTTAGAGTTATGAGTTCATACATGCTATTTGTTGCAATTTTAAATTCAGATGAACCCGGTACCAAAGAACTGGAACCGCCACCGATCAGGTACCAAAGGACTGGAACCGCCACTGATCAGGTTAGTTATTAAGTAACTATGAGCTATTAATTTTAATTATAAACATTAATTGGCAATCTTATAAAAATGAGTGACATGTTATACTAGATTAAGCTATAAGAAATCTGTATATTATCAAAGTATATAACTTAAATCGATCAAAATAGGTTTGGCCCGGCCCCTTTCCCCACTCTCAATGGGCTCCACCCCAAACAAGAAAAGTCGCAGTGTGCTGCTTTGATATTAAGGATGCACACCAAACACCAAGATATATTTTCCATGCAATTCATTTTTGTTTGGCCATTTAACACTGTTGGATGGCAGAGGAAAAAGTCTTCTATAAAGTTTACATTACTGCAATTTGAGCAGGTTTGTTCATTCTCCACTTTTGTGCAAATTGCACCTAGAGAAGAAGATAACAAGTCTCCATATGTAGCATCATCTCTCTAGACAAATGTTACACTATATAAGAAGCACTACATGTGGCATAATTTCTTGCATCACTCCTCTGCCTCGAACTAAAACTATCAAAAATGAAACCATTTGGCTTTCAATTTGCAGCTATCCTTCTGTTATTGCTTGATACTATTATGACACTACAAACACAAGGAGCTTATGTTAAACCTCAGCGAGTCACGTGCTATAAACGTTACAGCAAATGCTATCGCAATACATAACTTGCCCTTCTGAGTGCCCTGAAGTTCACCCGAAAGATCCCTATGCTAAAGAATATTTTCTTGATTGTTACTCTCCCAAATGTGAAGCAGTATGTAGAAGTAAGAATTTTCAACTCATTCCATTTGTCACTAATATCAAGCAAAATTTGAGAAGCTTAGCAATTTTTGACATTTTTTGGTTGCAGAAGTAGTAATTGTAGGGAAATGACACCGAAAATAACAACAATAATAATAATACTACAATAAAATGATTTGTGAGCGGAAATACACCAACTGGCTTGAGTCGTGCTAGGCACTTTCCTAAGAAACTATTTCAGCAATGTGAAATGTTTTCCCAGGATTAAACAAGTCCATCTCCATTTATTTAGAGGATACAGGAATCAGCAAAATTAAATAATAAATCCAGCAAGTTGGAAGAGAAAGAGCAACTAATATCTTATGCCAATCAAAATATTATAAAAGAAGAAATTAGAAAGAGAGGGACGTATAGGAAGGAAAGAAGATAGAAGTATTTCTTCTTTGCTAATGATTAGCTTTTCTTGGTGTTTGATGATTGAAGAATGATGGCCTAATCATTGCTATATATAGGCCTAAGAAAAGTTTCTACACAAGACAAGTGTTCTACTTACTTGTCAAATTTTCTTCATGCAAGATGACACTTGGACAAAATAAGCCATTTGTTCATAGCTTCTAGAAGGCTTGCCACATGTAAAAACTCTTTACATGCATATTGACATTTGGTTTAAGGCATAATACTTGGACTCATTTATTTTGAAAACGGAAAAGGCCTAAAAATGCCACTCAACTTTCAGAAATGGTCTATCCATGCCATCCGTTAAAAAAATACTCATTTCATGCCACGACCGTTACACATTTGGCCCATCCATGCCATTATTGACTAACAGCTCAATTTTTTTATTTTTTTAATATTTATAACACCCACATTTCCACGTGTCCTGTTGTTATTGGTCCGAATTAACCCATGCCCCACTTAATTTTAACCTTGGTTAGGTCTACCTACCCAAACCCGACTCGGTTAAAACATACCCAAATCAATAACCCAACCCAAACTCTTCATACCAAATCCCCTTCTCTCCGGTCATCTTCCCCAAAAGGTGCTGGCAAAGAAGTAATTCAGAGAAGAAAGAAAAGAAGTTTCCGCCGTCATTATCGTCCTTAAACCAAGATGGAAAGCCAAATTTCTTCATGCGTGCGGTGAGAAAAGATGGAAGGTTAGAGTTATGGCTGTCCAACGGGACGGGCCGGCCCGTCCCGTCCCGCATCCCGTCCCGGTCCCGTCCCGTCCCGTCCCGTCCCGTTTCAAGTTAAATGGGATGGGCCATTGTTAAACGGGACACGAGATGGGACGGGACGGCCATTTCGTCTCGTTTGTCCCGTCCCGTTTCGTCCCGTTTCGTCCCGTCCCGTCCCGCGTCCCGCCAGTTTTTTTTTAAAAAACTAGCCGTTGGGCAACGGCTTAAATGGCAAAAATAGCCGTTGCCAACGGTCCAAACAGCCCCTACACTCCCAAAACACCCCCTAAGTTTATTAAATTACACTTTGGCCCTATTTTCTACTATAAATACCCCCCATTCTTCTTCATTTTTTCCCACAAAAAATCAATCTTCTCTCTCAAATCTCTTACATTCTAATATTCTATCTATATTCTATATTATTCTCTCAATTTTGTTACTATCAAGTATCAAATATCAACTATCAAGTATCAAGTGATATCTTTCAAGTTTCAACTTTCAAGTATTTGGGCAAATTTTTTGGAGCAACTTTCAAGCTTCAAATTAATTCGTCAAGTATTTGGAGCAATATTTCGGGCAATTTCTTCAAGTTTCAATATTTAATCACGGTGCACTCGTTCCATCTCCTAATTTTAATATATAATTTTTGCGTATCATTTTAGTGCTTAATTTTTGTGTTTACTTTACGTGTTATATTTTCGTATTTCATTTGTGTGTTTAATATTTGTGTTAGCTTTTTTAATTTAGTTTCGTATTTAAATTATGGCACCTAAAAATGTATTTGGTATTTTTAAAAAAAGTAGTAAAAAAAGTAGTAAAGGTGAAAGTAGTAGTAATCCTAATCCTAACCCTTCTCCTAGACCCTCTAGAGTTAGAAAGCATATTGATGAAATGACTCATGTTGATGAAACTTCATTTTCCCAACCCCCCACATTTTATGATGTTCATGTCAGAGAACAATTAGATCATGAACAATTAGATCTAGCCGTTGCAAACTTTAAAAACATAGTAATTTTCAAAAAACTAGACGTTTTTTTATAAAAATAAAATACACTTAAGGCCCACGAACCCGTCCCGTCCCGTCCAGTTCCGTCCCGTCCCATCCCGCCTCATCCCGTTTGTTAGCGGGACGGGATGGGACGACCGTTTCGTCCCGTTTGTCCCGTCCCGCCACCGTCCCGCTTAAATGTCGTCCCGTCCCTTCCCGTCCCGTTAATTTCGTCCCGTCCCGTCCCGTCCCGTCCCGTTGGACAGCCATAGTTAGAGTTGACAGAGGTGAAAATTGATCGGTCCGAAACTCTCCTTGCTTCTGGCCAAGATAGACGACTGAAATTACATCTCATTCGTGATGAAGAAGAAGAAACAGAAGAGGAACACGAAGATTTCCCTCTGGACGATGAAAAAAAGATGATTGAAACAATTCAAGAAAATGATGAAGAAATACTTGAAGAAGAAGAATAAGAAGAAGACAAGGTTGCAGACTGGAAGTTTCCAGCGACAAGCGGTGGCAGTGGAGATGGTGTTCGGAGAAATTCCCATGTCTAATTTCTGGAACTGGAAAGGGGGGATTTGGAATGGCTTGGGTTGGGTTTGGTTGGGGGTGGGTTGATTAATGGGGTAATAAGTTAATCGGGGTTGGGTTAATTCGGACGAATGAGGACATTATACGTGGAAATTCTGGGGTTTAAAAAAATTTAAAAAAAAGAATTTTGTGCCGTTAGTTCATTAATGGCATAGGTGAGCCATATGTGTAACGGTAGTGGCATGGAATGAGCATTTTTTTAACGGATGACATGGATAAACCATTTTTGAAAGTTGAGTGGCATTTTTAGGCCTTTTCCGTTTTGAAAATACTACCACAGTAATATCTGTTACATTGTATAAACTAGTGAATGTTCATTTGTATTTACAGAACGAAAACCAAATTGTGATGGACCTGGTGCAGCTTGTTACGATCCTCGTTTCATAGGTGGAGATGGGATTGTTTTCTATTTCCATGGCAAAAAAGATGAGCATTTCAGCCTAATTTCAGATGTCAATCTTCAAATAAATGCTCGTTTCATTGGCCTTCGTCCTACTGGCAGAACACGAGATTTTAAATGGATCCAAGCTTTAGGCCTCATATTTGGCTCACATAACTTCACTCTAGAAGCCACAAAGGCAGAATATTGGGATCAAGAAGCTGATCACTTAAAATTCACATATGATGGGATGAGTTTTAATGTTCCAATAGGCCATTCATCGGTCTGGAATTCCCCTGATGAAAATCTTGAACTTGAAAGGACCTCAGTAACAAATAGTGTAAGAGTTACAATTCAAGAAATAGTGGAAATCTCAGCCAATGTTGTTCCTGTGACAGAAAAAGACGACGCTATACATGGTTATCAAATTCCTAAAAATGATAGCTTTGCTCACTTAGAAGTGCAATTCAGGTTCTTTGGTTTGTCCCCAAAAGTTGAAGGCATTCTTGGCAGGACTTACGAGCCAAGTTTCAAGAATCCAGCCAAGCCAGGGGTCGATATGGCGGTTGTTGGCGGTGATGACAAGCAGAGGCGGATGCAGTGTACAACCTACGGGTTCAACTGAACCCATAACTTTTGACGCGGAGTAAAATTTCTATGTAAAAATTTCATTAAAATTGTAAAAATAGTAGATATGAACCCATAACTTTAAAAATATAATGGGTTAAATATTAAAAACCTTAAAATTGAACCCATAAGATTTAAATCCTGGATTAGCCTCTGATGACAAGTACAAGACTAGCTCACTTCTATCAGCTGACTGCAACTCTTGTGTTTTCACTCCTGGAAAAATGTTTGCTGAGAGAGATTTGGCATTAATGGACTATGGTTCTTTGGACTATACTGGTAGAGGTATTGATGGTGGAAAAGGAATTGTGTGCAAGAAATGAATTTTTTGTCTTATTAATCACATAATAAAAGAAAGGAAGCCAGCCAAATATGGCTATCCAATTAGTACAAGTTCAATTCTTATGTTTTATGCTACTAATAAGTAATGTAACAGTTTGAATTCAGCTATGTTTGTTCCCATCAATGCCTTGTTTATCTGATGTCAAATTTTTAGTTTGCTCTGGTGTTTTATGCTAGTAATATAGTTATAGCACGTTATTACTTTATTTTACAACTTATTATATTAGGCTTGATATGGTGAGTTACTTGTTTTAATTCAGTTTAACTCGATAGTACAAATTTTCACAAACTAAAGTAAATTCAGCTTAACGAATGAATGTTGAATACTACTCAAAAGATTTAAGGGATTTTGATAAAACAAAAACTAAAAAGGGCATAATAAATTGTCTTCGGCAAAGAAAAGAAGTTATCGCGAAAAAACAATTATAGAATCATGAGTCATGCATCACACCATATTTTTCTTTTTCAATCCTAGATTTAGTGTACTTAATCATATTTTCTTTTATGTTCCTTTTGACAAGTAATAAAGCTTTGAATTTAATCATCGGTAAAACTTCCTTTTCACGCCTTAGAAAAATTAAAACTTCTTTTTCTTCCATTTAATATACTCCTAGTACTTAGCACCAGTGACGAGATTTCTCAAGAAAGGAAAAAAAAAATTATCAAGTGTGGGGCCAAGGGGCGTCCCTTCCATAAAGCAAGTAAAGCAACTGCTTTAGCCCCACATTTATAAGGGCCCCATTTTTTGTTACACCTAATAGGTTATGCGTAAGTTTAAAAAAAGGATCTGTGAAGTGAAAAAAAATTAATTTCTTTCTTTAACAGGTATAGAGAAGAAAGATTTGCAACTGCTATGATTTCTGCCAAGAAAATTGCACTTGAAATGAATATCGAACCCGAATTTTGTATGAAACGTATGATATATAGGAAGTAACAATTGATGAGAATGATCATAATAAAATCTCAAAATCTTTCGAAGAATCCTTTGGAGTTGATTACTTTATACATTTAGACAAGTTTTTTTTTCACTTCAAAATAGATTTGAACAATTCGAAGCATATGAAAATATTTTTGATTTTCTATTTAGCGATAAAAATTAAGATCACTAGATGATGAAAATATTAAAAAATATTTCCTTAGTCTTGATTGTTCCTTAAAGCATAATAATCAATTCAATATTGATGGTTTGAATTTATTTTCGGAATTAGAAATATTAAGAAAATAGTACAATTAGAAGATAACAGTCTAATTGATACACTCGGTCAAAAAAATTGATTCTTTTTCCAATGCCTATATTACTTATGGAATAATATTAATAGCTCTTGTTTCCGTCGTTTCATAATAAAGAAATTTTCAAAATTAAAATTATAAATCTCACATATGATCAACAATTAAATTGATTAGTTATATTGTCAATTAAGAAAGACTTATTAGGAATTATTGATTATAAGAAAATTATTAATAATTTTGTATCTAAAGAACGCTAGAAATATAGACTTCAAATAAATAATTAATTTAAAAAAATAAAGTCAAGGCCCCTCACAAAGTTTGGCTTTAGGCCACAAAACTCGTCGGCCCGCCTCTGTGTGGGGCCAGAATGACACGTAGAGAGTATTGCAAAAACTCAATTATTGAATATGCTTTAGACAATTGGACAATCTTATCATAAACTTGTTTTCTGAAATTGATTACCCAATCAAATTAACTTTCTATTATTTAAATAGAAGTTTGAAACTACCGCGTTTCTTAACTCAATTACTCAACTAATTTGATTCTGAATATAGTACATCACTTAGTTCAACCACTCAGTTCAATACCATTCCTAGGGTTTATTCCACCTTAACATCGTGTCATTCTTGATCTTGAAGCTCCAAAAACACTCCTATGCAACTGGTACCTTTGATTTTTCCTTTTATTTATTTAGTTCTTTTTTTATTGTATATGTACCTTTAAACTACGCAGAATCATTTTCTTTTCTTAATTTTTTCACAGCTTGTGTAATTTAATTGGAGGAGATGGGCGGTTTTGAGCTAATATGGTTTGTAAGAGTAACTGTTATACTAATGATGGTTCCAAAGATTCTTGGTTGGGGAAAAGAAGGACACTATGTTATCTGCAAAATTGCTGAGGTAACTGAAGTTCTTTTTCTTTTATTACTATTTTGATGACCATTTTTTTTCCTCTTCTGTCATGTACTTTGAGTCAATTCTTGAAGAGATTGAATGTTTGGATAAAAGGGTGTTTAATATTTGTTAACTGTTTATGGATTTATTCATAAAGGTTGAATCTTTATTTACTTGTAGGATCTTGTATTGACTACTTATTTGATTTTGTATTTGGCATTTGCCTGAATACTTTGAGTCTTTTGAGAGGTTTTATGGGTGTCCATCCGTTGTTGCAGATGATAGTTTGTAAGGAAATGCAAGAGAAGAAAATAGCAAAATAGAGAGGAAAAGATCGTTCTCATTAGTTCATCAATGCTTTATAATTTTGACAACAATTGGATATGAACAGTGTAGTAGTAATCTGGAACAGCAGGACATTATTGAAATTACAATCATAACAAACTGAACTAGGGTGCTAAAGAAAATAAAAAAGGAAATTGGGACTACACTGTCATTGATGGAAACTTTGACATACTATTCCGGAAGCTCATGGTACTATCCACTACATAGTTTTGCTAAAATCATCTGATTTGGAGGTTGCTTGATCTGGCAATTATCTAGTGACAGAGAATGTAATGTCCCACTATACAATCAAATTTTCAACCAAGAAGGATCTTTTCTAATCTAGGTCTCTTTTCAACATAATATTTCATGTGTCAAATGTGATATTTCTAGGAAGTAGTGTCGATATCAGAGAATTCAGGGCCTCCATTTGGTTTTTGCCTTTTCATATTTACCCCCTTTTTAATTCAGTTTTGTTGATGTTCTAAAATAGATAGTCTTTGTGTGCTTCAACTAATCAGGTACTGGATAAAGATTCTGGTTAGACATTCCGATAAACTTGTTTGGTTGAAGCATATATTACATTGATTGATTTTATCTCAAATTTGACACTGCACTTCAAATTGGATAAAGTCTTAAGTACTTTTCTTTTAGTTTAGTGTTTAGAATGTCAAGGAAGTAACATGGAAAAGGATCGACAAATTTTTTTTAAAACATTTTTGGTCGAGCGAGCTCTTTAATTGGAAGTTAATGTGAATCTCTTGGGCCTTTCAGGAATATCTAACAGAAGATGCTTTGGCTGCAGTCAAAGAGTTACTCCCAGATCAAGCTGAAGGTGATCTTGCAGCTGTCTGCTCCTGGGCTGATGAGGTTAAGCACCACTACCCGTACTACCGCTGGAGTTCTCCATTACATTATGTTGATACACCTGATTTCTTGTGCAATTACAAATATTGCCGTAAGTGAAACTACGTATAATTGCTTCTATATAAATATTTGTTGATTTTTGGTTCATGTTTAGCTATTCATCTTGGTATCATGACTTACTCCCTAGAAATCAAATGAAAAAAGAAGTACAGTAAAAGTTCTATAAGTCGTGTCTGCATTTCCTATTGTTACTTGGTGCACTGAAGTCAAAGTAGCTCAACCTGATCCAGCATTTCATAGTTGACATTTTTTCTGTTATAACAATGAACCCTGATATGACATATTAAGATAAATCTTCTAATGCTGCAGTTTTGCATCTTAGCTTTGATCTGTTAATAACCTTTGGTCTAGCAAGTTTCCCATGGAAACTGATCTTTTACCTACTTTATGATAGGAGACTGCCATGACGGGCATGGACACAAGGACAGGTGCGTTACAGGAGCAATATACAACTACTCAATGCAACTTTCACAGGGATACTATGATTTGAATTCAGAAAAATGTGAGGAAGGATACCCCCCCCCCCCACCCCCCCCCCCCCCCCCCCGGGTTATTGATGCATTTATTGGACTGGAACTAATTAGTTTTAGTGACAGACAACTTGACTGAAGCGCTTATGTTCTTGTCTCATTTTGTTGGTGATGTACATCAGGTCAGCTCACTTGTCCTGGAACCTTGGTGTATGTAACTAAATAAACATAAATGTATGAGTCTTCATATAAACGTTTGGAACTATTGATAAGTTTCTTTTTGTTTTAAAAACTTGCTAAACAAAAGTTTCTTTTAGTCTTAAATAACAATGTACATACTGCTATACCTCTTGTGTACAAATACACCACATAACTGATGAAGAAGTTATCCACGGTACACGGAATTGAACCATTGGCAATGCCATCATTAATTTTCTTTTCATAAACCAGTTGTTTGTTTACCTCCTATCGTGCGGATGTCTTGATTATGATCATGAGACAGGATTACTGATTTAAAAAATTATGACCGTGAGGCAAATTTCACCAAATCCTAAGCTTGTACAGCATATATTTGATTTTTTTTTTTTTTAACTTACATCCAAATTTGAGTGGTGATCAGGGAAAAAAAGGTCCTGAAAGCTAAACTTAGTTTTGCCTTATTTTCTTTTCTGTGTGCAGCCTCTACATGTTGGTTTCACTGGAGATGTTGGTGGAAACACTATAGTAGTCCGTTGGTACAGGAGGAAGACTAATTTGCATCATGTAGGTCGTGAGTTTCTTTCGAGTATCAATTCGTTCTGATCTCATTTTGTTATTTGTGGTTTGAATTATTTCCTAGTATTTTTAGGAAACCCATAGTCCCTATAGTTTTAGGAAAACCCATTGTCCTAATAGATTTGGGAAAGGAAAACCTATGGTCAATGTCAAATTGGGAAACCTTTCTCTTAATATGTTTGGGACCTTTTGGGATCTATATATAGGGGTTGTAGTTGGGGATTCTATAGATTGTATTGTGCTTTTCTTCTCATTCATAGAGAAAACTCTCTCTGCTTTTGCCCGAGGATTAGGCTTAGCCGAACCTCGTTAAATCCTTGTATTGATTTTTTTTTCTCTATTTGCTTTGTGTGTGATTGTGTGCTAGTTAACCCACGATATTCCGCAACAATTGGTATCAGAGCAAGGTTCGGGTTTCTACATATAATCTAGGGTTAAGATGTCTTCATCATCTTCAACAAAGTACGAAGTAGAGAAATTTGACAGGGGTTCTAGTTTCAGTCTATGGAAGATTAGGATGAAATCGTCCCTGGTGTTACAAGGGTTATGGAAGGCAATTGATGAGGATTTTCCTGAAGAGATGAAGGAGACAGAGAACGCAGACCTGAAGGAGAGGGCTTTGAGTGCGATCTTCATGAGCTTTACAGATAGCGTTCTTCGGGAAATTGCTGAAGAAACTTCTGCAGCAACGGCATGGAAGAAGCTGGAAAATCTATATTCTAAGAAATCGCTAACAAACGGCCTCTACCTGAAAAAGAGGTTATACAATCTCCGTATGAATGAAGGTACATCTGTTAAAACTTACATTGATGAGTTTAATTCAATTATAATGGACCTAAAGATTGTGGATATCAAAATTGAGAGTGAGGATCGGGCCTTGATTGTGTTATGTTCTTTACCACCGTCTTATGATACTTTTGCCGATACGTTGCTATATGGGAAAGACAACATTTCACTAGAAGATGTTAGTAATGCACTGAAATCTAAAGAGTTGAAAAAGAGCTTTCCAGACAGCAGAATTGAGGGCGAGAGTCTTGTGATTAGAGGAAGAACACTACAAAAAGACTTTAACAGGAAAAAGTTAACCGCCAAATCAAAGTCTGGAGCAAGGAAACAACACTGTTATGAGTGCGGGGAGCAAGGTCACTACAAGAGAGATCGTCCTAAGCTGAAGGAGAAAAGAGGAAAGCAAAAAATAGATAATTCGGCAAATATTGTTGACACTGGCAATAATTCTGATGATAGTGACCATGCAGGGGAAGTCTGTGCTGTGAGTTCTAGTCATGGGCGGAATTCTTGGGTTCTTGATTCTGGTGCTACTTTCCACATGTGTCCACACAAGAATTGGTTTGCAACTTACAATGAATTGAGTGGGACTATCTATATGGGAGATGATAATCCATTACCAGTAGAGGGGGTTGGTAACATCAAATTGAGAATGTTGGACGGAATTATCTGAAACATTGAGTGTTGGCATGTTCCTCAAATAAAGAGAAATTTGATTTCTCTTTCGACTTTGGATGATCAAGGGTATAAATTTCACTCCGAGAATGGAATACTTAAAGTGTATAAAGGCTCCATGGTACTCATGAAGGATAAACTACATTCTAAATTTTATCATCTTTAGACTAGTGTAGTTGAAGGGGAAGCTGCTGTAGCTTCTGGGAAAAGTGATCTGAATCAGTCTCAGTTGTGGCACTTGCGACTTGGCCATATGAGTGATAATGGATTGTCTTTGTTGAGTAAGCAGAATTTGCTAAATAGGTACAAAAATCAAGTTTTGAATTTTTGTGAGCATTGTGTGTTTGGTAAACAGACAAGGGTAAAGTTCATCAAGAAGGCCGAGCACAAGATCACAGACAAGTTAGATTATATACACTCTGACTTGTGGGGTCCAAACATAGTTCTCTCCAAGAATGGTGCCAGGTATTTTATGACTTTGATTGATGATTACTCAAGGATGGTGTGGTGTATTTTCTGAAAACAAAAGATGAGGCATTTTCGACATTTGTTAAATGGAAGACGATGGTTGAGAGGCAGACGGAAAGAAAAGTTAAGTGCCTTCGAACTGACTATGGGTTGGAATTTTGCAATTTTGAGTTCGATAATTTCTGCAGCAGGGAGGGCATAGTGAGACACCGCACTTGTGTCGGAACACCACAACAAAATGGTGTTGCAGAACGTATGAATAGAACGCTTTGTGATAGGGCACGAAGCATGCTTTCACACTCATGTGTTAGCAAAGATTTTTGGGCTGAAGCAATCAATACAACTTGTTATTTGGTCAACAGATCTCCATCCACAGCTATTGAGTTCAAAACGCCTTTTGAGGTATGGTCGGGTTCGCCTTCTGATTATTCAAATTTAAGGATATTTGGTTGTCCTGCTTATGCTCATGTGAGGGATGGAAAACTTGAGCCGAGGGCAAAGAAGTGCATATTTCTAGGGTATGCAACTGGAGTAAAAGGTTATAGGTTATGGTGCACAGATCAAAAGACTCCAGGGCTAATTATTAGTAGGGATGTAACATTCAATGAATCTGCCTCACTAGACAGTCAGAGGGAGAAGGCAATAGCAGAAACAAATCGTGGTGTCAGTGACCGCATAGAGCTAGAAATTGAATCTCCACTAGCTCAGCCCAGTAGTTCTAAAGTAGAGGAAGTGGAGGGGGTACAAAATATTGATCAAAATGATAATGTTGATGCATCTGCGCAACAACAACCATATAGCATTGCAACAGGCAGAGAGAAGAGAGTGATCAACCGAAAGCAAAGGTTTGCAAACGTAGTGGATGGGAATCTTCTTGGATATACGAATCCAATGGGATTTGCTTTGGCAGTTGCAGAGACCGTTGATGCATTTGAGTGTTATAGCTACTCAAAAGCTATTCAGAGTACAGAACCAAATCGACGGATTAGTGCTATGGCTAAAGAGATTGAGTCTCTTAACAAGTTTAGGCGTTGCCTAGACTTGGTTGATGTGTGCGGCAATGGATAGAGCCCTTGCGAGGGCTGAGGGCAAGGTAGAGAGACGTTGTTCCTGTTGATGAAGAGAATTCAAGCCAAGGGGAAGATTTGTTATTTGTGGCTTGAATTATTTCCTTGTATTTTTAGGAAACTCATAGTCCCTATAGGTTTAGGAAAACCCATTGTCCTATATGTTTGGGGCCTTTTGGGATCTATATATAGGGGTTGTAGTTGGGGATTCTACAGATTGTATTGTGCTTTTCTTCTCATTCATAGTGAAAAACTCTCTCTGCTTTTGCCCCGAGGATTAGGCTAAGCCGAACCTCGTTAAATCCTTGTGTTGATTTTTCTTCTCTATTTGCTTTGTGTGTGATTGTGTGCTAGTTAACCCACGATATTCCGCAACACATTTTTTTGGGTCACTGAATAAAATTGTTGAGGTGTAACATCTTCGAGCAGATTTATTCATTTCGTGTTACTATTAAATATACAAAATATTTATCATTTATAGTCCCTTTCGTTTGAAATATATTTAGATGGTACCTTCTTTCTACCTCTCGAATTACGTATTCACTTTCTCTACTCTGAAAACAAAAGGCAAGTTCTGAGCGTGTTTGCCTCTTCTTAGATTTTAACTGTCAAATGATACTAGAGAAGTAGTATATGCATCTTAATCTGTATGAGCATAAGAGAAGAGGTGTATCTTGAAATTTAAACTATTTATGTGAACCATGCACAAATTAGATATCTGTTTAGAAACAGTCACTGTAACTTCTTGAATTTACTTCATTCAGGTATGGGATACCATGATTATTGAATCCGCATTGAAGACATACTACAAATCTGACCTCACGTTAATGATACAAGCTCTTCTGAGAAACATCACTGTAAGTTTTAGTTGAGTCTTCATACAAAGTATTAAGTATCTATTCGTTAGAGATATGACCTTTACATTTCTAAAGGTGAAGTTGGAAATTGTTATATTGTGCATGAATTGTGGGAGGATTTCATCATCCCAGTGCCACAGTGCTCACTGAAAAGAGTCTCACACTCTGTTTTATTCTCTTAAAGAAAATATTACGATCCTTTCAGCATAAACCGAGTCTCTGAAATCGTAGTCAAAATCTACTTCACATGGATTCCACTTTCTGATCCAGCAATATGTAACATATTGTTTTCCCTAGCTTATCTAGAAAATCTTTCTGCAATATATATGTAAATGGAGATAGTTTAGCAGAGAAAATTAAATTAAAACAATTCTTTCCCGCCAAATGATGTTTTCTTTTCAAGAAATTAGATGAATGTTACAAAATGGATGTTCAACCACTATCTCGAAGGGGAGTTGCTTCGGTGACTGGAAGTTCCTCAACAGCATGTAATTGAGATCTCTACCATGCCTCTTCAAGTTCATGCAATTTTTGTTTTGTTTTGATTTTTGAATGTGCAGAAAGCACCAACTCTCGAACTTGTTAAGCTCAAAATTTAGCAGTTTGAGTATGTCTCTTTTCACTAGCTTCTCAGGACCTGGAGAAGACATTGTGTTCTTGATGCTTGTCAAAAGAAAAGAGACGGTTTAATTGTTGATCCTGTCTTCTATTCTCTTAATTCCGTCATCATTTGTAATTTATGTATTTGTAACTGGAAATAGGATGAATGGTCCGATGATGTTCCATCTTGGGAAAATTGCAAGAAGATGGTCTGTCCTGACCCGTAAGTTATTCTTTTTCTTTTCCTTTTGGTCCCTTAGAACCTGCATCCCGTTCTCCCGCCCTCTTTTCTTTGTGGATTACGGTGTTTTGATCTTTGACTTCTCAATATATGGTCAGAGCAGAGCTAGATGATTTTTATTTCTTGTGTGGAGAATCTCATATGCGATGTAAAAGCTGTTAGTTAAGGTAAGGTAAATATTATTAAAAAAGTGGCACCAAGTAGGTGTAGTGGTGTGTGCATTACAAAAAGCAAAACCTCAAGACCTTACTCATGTAAGGCATTGAAGAATTCTATCAATATATCCACATCAATTACATTTGTCATCTTGCACCAGTATGCTAATGTAGAGATACAATTTTTTGTAAGTATTTATTTATGAGTTCTTGTCTTCAAGGATTATCGAGTCTCGCATTATAGGGGTGTGATCCTTCCAACGTACGTACATACATACATATATATAAAAACAGCGCACTACTTTGAAGAACATGCTTTTACAGGTATGCTTCTGAAAGTGTCCGTTTGGCCTGCAAATTTGCCTACAGAAATGCAACTCCGGGAAGCACTTTGGGAGGTAAAAACTGATCTCTGTGGTCTTCTTTCACTTTCTAACGTTTATTTGAATGACATGCTTGACATTCATAAAGATCCAAAATTATATTGGAAAACCCTTTAAATCTTAATCGTCCGAGTAGATCAGTAAAAGGTTAAAGACGAAGTTTCTTTATAAACAAGTTTTGCTTCTTAATCTGACTGTCATCAGAGAAAGCCTTTCTTTGTGGCTCTGACTATGGGAAAACCCAACTTAGAAGAAAATATTCAGTCATGCTATGGTATGTAATAATTGAGCTCTTGACGCTGTAATGAAATTTAAATTGACAATTATCAACCAATTCTTGAACGTGCTGTTACGTGATGTTGGGAAGTCCTTTTTGCCCTGATTGATAATAATTAGACTGATGTGTATATTTTTAGTAGTTGTCGTCCTTATCTCTTCACTATTATTACATGATCTTGCTTTGCCTTTAGATAGGTCCATTTTCTTAACTTGTCTCTACAAAAACTACCTATACATGTGTTGATCGATATGTGCATGGAACGATGGAAAGCCTAGCCATGTACAGTTACAGTCTTTCTGTAACAGTAATTAGCTGACATCGGCCAAGCCTCCATAGGCATCACTAAAAATTACACATGACTATATTCAGTATAATGCCATGTCTCTTAGTTCACTAATCTTCAATTATCTGTTTGTTGCCTAGACGATTACTTCCTTTCTCGGCTTCCTGTAGTGGAGAAGAGGTTAGCGCAAAGTGGGATCCGCTTGGCCGAAGTTCTAAACCGAATTTTCAGTAAGCAACCACTTGCTGCACAATGAAGATTACAGGGAAGTAATGAAGATAAACTGCAGAAGAAAGTCAAAAGTAGGGGACCACGCAATGCAACTTCCTTCATAACTTGGAGTTTCCCTCACGTCAAGAAATGAAGCCTACCTAAAATGCCTTATAAGTCAACCATTACTTAAAAAAGTGTAATAAAATGTACCTTTAAATGTACAACTAGTCACCACATGTGATAGATGCTGCAGGCAACATTAGAATATGCTCTATGTTGCTTTTATGAATAATCTACTTCTATTTACTTAAGATAGGAGGAACATTTAGCTTGTACACAATAACAACTATATTGAACATTTTGTATATATAGAACAAGCTCATCTTAGTGGGACATTTCTGTTTCTTGCTACCAGTCTAAGTAATAACTCCATTTTTACTTCTTTAAGGATGTTGAGGTTAACTTCATTAAGCAGTATTTTCTTTTTCTGTCTTGCTTTTATCACCCAACCTGGTGTTAAAGCATGGAGCAAAGAGGGTCATATGATGACTTGTCAGATCGCCCAGGTATACATGTATATAAGATTTCTTGATATTCATTAAGCAAGACAAAAATTTTAATTCTCCTAATTCTTAAATGTCAATTTAATTCTGTTAACGTAAATATTTTCTTCAAATAAGAAGAGTTATTTCATGTGATAATAGGACCTGTTGAATGATGAGGCAGCTCATGCAGTTAAGATGTTGTTGCCGGAATATGTTGACGGCGACTTATCGGCACTCTGCGTATGGCCGGACCAAGTCCGGCATTGGTATAAATATAGGTGGTCAAGTCCTCTACACTTCATTGATACCCCTGATAAAGCTTGCAACTTTGACTATGATAGTAAGTCGAATGCTTACATCAAAAATGTGATGTCTTTTTCTCTTTTTTCACATTTTGAACCTGTAATATTATTACTTGGGCCATGAACTCATAGTATTATTTTGTATGGTGAAAAGGGGACTGTCACGATCAACATGGAGTGAAGGATATGTGTGTTGCTGGTGCAATTCAGAATTTTACCACTCAGCTCTCTCATTACCGAGAGGGAACTTCTGATCGTCGATGTAAGAATCAAAATAGTAAACTTTTTTATACTGTCGGTAAACAAAACTGAAACTCGAGAGAACCTAAAAGTAACTAATTTTACCCCATGGAGATTGATGTTCAAGAGCTTGGTCACATTTTCTCGATTCAGTTATGATTTGTTTTAATTCGACTTTTGGGGTTTGATAATTACAGATAATATGACAGAGGCCTTGTTATTCTTGTCACATTTCATGGGAGATATTCATCAAGTATGCACTAACTCTTTTTGGCGTTGGAAACTTCAATTTGAACGTTACATAATTGATAGCAGCTTACGATTTTTTTATTACAAAATAACTTGTTCCCTTGTGGTTTTTGTGATTTCAGCCATTGCATGTTGGCTTTACAAGTGACGCAGGAGGAAATACTATTGATTTGCGCTGGTTTAGGCACAAATCAAACTTGCACCATGTAAGTATGTATATTAGTAGAGCCTGATCCATGATTTAAAATTAGTGAGTTCAAAACTATGGATACGATTTATTATATACAAAATTTGTACATGTACAGATTAGTATGATCTAAAGTCATTATGTTAAGCTTAAATCCGGCTATGACAATAAGATAAGAAGCAACTCTATATATACTGTAATTATCAAAAAAAAAATATTAATGTTTTGTATTCTTTGTATAAAAAAAAAAATTGATGGTATATATAGGTGTGGGATAGAGAGATCATTCTGACAGCTGCAAAAGACTACTACGCAAAGGATGTAGACCTTCTTGAAAAAGACATTGAAGGAAACTTCACTGACGTAAGAACTTTGTCTAGATTAAAATTTTCATATAGAATAATAATTTTATTTGTAAGATTGATGGGGTGAACAAACATACTCAGGGAATCTGGTCCGATGATCTTGCTTCCTGGAGGGAATGTGGCAATCTCTTTTCCTGTGTCAACAAGTGAGTTCTTCCTCCTTTTTGTTTTTCAGTTTATCGCTCAAATAACTTATTTTCTACTAATGGTGAGTTGTTTAAAATTTCTCCACCCTTAACTAAAGGTCTTAAGTTCGTGCCCTAAACTAAGAATGGAAAACCTTTGGCAAGGGATTGATTTACCCCCTTTAGTAGGTTTATCCATCGCAAATCCAAATTAATCGAGCCAATATGCTTCAGAAATTAGATGATAAACCAAAGAAGAAACTTACTTTCTTCTGCAATTATTCCATGTCATTTTGTGTAAATGAAAATGAGTCACCAAAATCTTGTTAAGGTGTGCCCAATTTTGTCTGGGTCAGGGTCTCAACATAGTTGCTTCATTTTAGGTCGCGCCCTTGACCCCTGATTGAATCTGTATGCCGAAGATATAGACAGCATATATGAATCTTTAGAGATTTAAAAATAGAATTCATAAAAAAAAAGTATTTTTTAAAATGACTGCTATTTGGGATGGGAGGAGTATAAAAAAACACTGAATTTGTCAGTGTAAATGAATATTGACTCTATTAATGCGATTTAATCTACTGTAGAAGGTTATTCGCTTTATTTTTTCAAGTTGTGATTCCATTGATTACGGATAGTACCTTTAATAACCTTCAATAACCTGAAAATATATAATTATAATTTAAAAAAAAACAAACCTTATACACTTCACTGGTGGATTGAGATAATAAGAAGAGAGTAAGTTGGGCCATGTCAACTTGAATGGGTTGAGAACACATGGATAGGCTTCCTGAGCTAGTCCACTTCTTATGAAGCCCAATTAATGGTAGGTTGGGCCAGGTCAACTTGAATGGGTTGAGAACACATGGATGGGCTTCCTGAGCTAGTCCACTTCTTATGAAGCCCAATTATTGTATGTTTCGTTGGGCTCGGACTTGGCAGGTTGGCCCAACAGGTTTGCTATCGGTCATGCTAAGGTTAATTAGCCAAAATTTCACGGTATAGCCAGTTTTCGGACTGGTCAATCAAAAATAGCCAGTGTTTACCAAGTCAATGAAAAATAGCCACCGTTTTGCTGCAATAGAGACCGGCCCAGCATAATATACTGGAGTTCGGTGCACTTGTGTATGAACTCCAGTATAATATACTGGATACTGGAGAACTGGTGCTACAAACTCCAGTATATTATACTGGACCATTATACTTGCTGGAACTCCAGTATATTATGCTGGAGTTCTAGTGTATTTATGCTGGAACTCCATCATATTATGCTGGAGTTCCAGCATACTATCCTGGAACTCCAGTATAATATGCTGGAGTTCAAGTATACTTATGCTGGAACTCCAGCATAATATACTGGAGTATTTTCCGGGTTTTGAACAGTGTTTTCGTTCAGATTTATCTTTACATAAAAAGTGGCTAAATTTCGATAACTTTTGAAATTGGACTATTTTTGAACGACCAGTTGTAAGTCTGGCTATTTTTAAAAATAAGAACATAAATTTCGCATTCAAGTTTGGGAAACTTAGTTATAAGCAAATATTAATTTTCAAAACTTACCACTCTTTTATAAACATTAGGTAATAGAAGCCCGTAAACTATTGATTAATCCAAATTTGTGCCCACTAAGCTTATTAAGAGGGATAAATATTCTTTCCATCTCAGCATTCAAACTTGGTGAGAAAATCCCAATCATCCCATCGCACCTCTTAGCGGTAAAACTTACCACTTCAAATAATAATTATACTTTTTCACTTGTCTTACTGCTTTATATGAAACTTACTTTTGAATGGTTCAGGACAAAAAGCTCCTTCAGACTAGGAAAGTTAAGGTGGAAATCTAGAGATGGAATAGTCATAGTGTCAAATGTTAGTGTCCAATTTTAATGTTGGTGTTGTCCACTTATTGATCATGGCGTAAATGTCATAAATATTTCAAGACTTTGACCAAGTAAAAATAAATTTTTTTTGAGAAAGGACTTTTTCTATAAATAAAAAAAAACATGCATCCAGAAAAACTAATAAAAAGAACAAAGAAAAATGAAAAATAATATTTGATGTGATTTTCCAGGTTTGCTACGGAAAGCATTAGTATAGCTTGCAAATGGGGATACAAAGGTGTTGAAGCTGGTGAAACTTTATCAGGTATAAAAAAAAAGGAAAATGAATTATACTCCATATATATTAGCACAATAAAAAGGCAATTTTATGTGACGTTTTTTGTCCCCTTTTTTTTCTTTCTTTTACAGATGATTACTTCAATTCAAGACTTCCAATAGTGATGAAACGAATAGCACAAGGTGGAGTGCGATTAGCCATGCTTCTAAACAAGGTTTTCGGAGATTCTCAAGAAGATTCAGTAGCACCAACTTAATTGTAATTTCTTCGAATAGAAAATAAATTTAATAAAAAATGACAAACATAGTAGTTAATTTCTTTTTAATATTTGACAAAAAAAAATTACCCGACAAGTGTCGTATAGTATGCTCCCCGTATAACTCGAGATGACATATCTTGTATCCTGTAATTACAAATGTGGATGTTACTAAAAGTGAAACTACATTGTCTTATGTTTCAATACAAACAGTAAAATATTTATCTTTCCTATGGTTCTGAGTTCTCGCACGCACAGATATATATTGGAGCTAATTACAATTCTAACTTGTGACACTATTGCGACATCTTAAACACTAAAGTACTGTACCTTAAGAATAAGTTTATGTGTTACAAATTTAGTAACCCTATATAAAAAAAAAAAAAGAAAAAAAAAAGTCATTTTGGAACATAATCAAACCATTTTCCCCAATTCCAAAACATACTTGAGTAGTTATACTCCTTTGGTTTTCAAATTAAACGCTTTGTTTGATTTTTCTATTAGGATTTGACTTTTGAATGACAATTAATATATAACAGAAATAAGAAATTATCCGAAACAACTTATCTTTGGCAAATTCCAACTAAAAATAATAAATTAGCTGAAAAACATCTAACTATAGTAAACTGGGCAAATATATATTATGGTCTAGCTAGTTATATATAGTAGGCGTAGCCATTACACATTTCCCCATTGATTTACGCAAGTAGGATTATTTTTTGACCTTATGTTATTTTTCCTAAATTTGGCTGTTAGAGATGGCGAGGGGAAAACTATTAAATGCTTAAACTATTGGGAACGAATTGTATAACTTGTTTCATACAGGGGAATGACAGTTAACAGAATAAACCTAAAAACTTGTCCAAAGATTTTAATGCTGGTGGATGCCTTAGATAAAATGAAAGGAGCAATGCAAGGGGCTACAGAACTAAGGTCAAAAGGAAGTGTGACTTTAATTGAAGCAATTATTAGGGTAGCCTCCTCATAAAGAGTTAAGAAGCGACAGTTCTCCAAATTGGATACCATTGAAAAATCTAAAGGAAAAATGGAAAATTTTCTCATAACAAAATTAGGCCGATGATCGAGGTAGCTAGGGGAAGCCTCAATTCAAGCCCACCCCACAAGTGTTCCTTTTTCCTTTTTTTTTTTTTTTTTTTTTTTGACATAATAGACTAGAAAATCATCCTACGGAAAGATAAAAGGCAGTAATATTTTGTAGGGAGAAGGTCCAAATCTATCCCTCTACTTTTGAATATTGTTTATATTTAACCTTTTTTATACTACTCGACCAAATTTATCCTTATCGTTATATTATCCAGCCAAACTTATCCCTACCATTAGCAACGTTTTAAAAATTACCTCTCAGGTCGTTAGGTGACCCAGAATCTCTCAAATCATTTTAGTTAAGTCATTATTCTTCTTCTTGATCCACTATTTTTAAAATAGTTGGCATATTACCTACTTAAATCGGAAAAAGGAAATAAGAGAAAAAAAATATTAAAATAATACAGCTGTCAATAAACAAAATATAGTAAATTGAAGAATCTAAATTAGGTAGCTTTGTCTAAATTCCAAAAGTATTTTCAACACCCCAACTTTAATGAATTCGTTGCACCAAAGGTATGGAGACTTTGCAAGTATCATGTTAGATGTTTGTCCAGATTTTCTTACCATAATTGGTTTTCCTATCTCATGAAGGAAAGGACAACATATTTACCAAAATTTGGTTTTTCTTTTCCTAGAGGGAAAATATAATTCTTCCATATTTGGCTATTCCCTTTTCTTGTAGGAAAAGATTTGGAGTTCTATAAATTGAAGATCCTTCCTTCTCATTCAGTAGCATCCACAATGTAGCCACATGGGGCTTGAGAGTCGTGTTTAGGGGGAGAACTTTACAGGACACGTATTAGTGTGTCACTTGTGTTTGCCTCTTCGTGAGGTTGTTCTCTTGATATTTTGTACTCTCTTTTATATAGTGTATTGCTCATCTCCGCCGTGGATGTAGGTCAGTTGACCGAACCACGTTAAATGTTTGTGTCTCTTTTGGTAGATTTCTCTTTTGTTATCTGAGTTATCGTCGCTCAAGGTTTGCTTGCTAGCTTCTGCATGACAAGTGATTTTTGCGGTCCTAACAAGTGGTATCAGAGCGAAGTTCAAGACAGGTTCATCTTGGCGAGTTCAGTTCTAGCCGCAACATAGTTGACGATAATCGTATTTTTGTCTGAGAAATTTGACCAGTGTGCTATGCACGTTGAGACAAACCATCATCCATAAGGTTTCACACTTGGGTTGGGTCAGAACCCTGTAAAAAATCTAGCTACTCATAGTGGGTATTGAAGAAAACGAAGAAGAAAAGCTCATAAACTCATATTGGAAGATTA